TGACCGCTCCGGTCACGTAAAGGCATGAGCCAGCCGTAGGGCTTCCATTTCAGTCATCAACTCGACACATTGCAGGTTTGATGTTCCAGAGTGCTCCTCCAGCTCGTCGATGATTGAAGTGACACACTCAATTCCCACGTTGAGAAGGAAGGTGAAGGAACGGCATGGTGGTTGCTATTACAGTACTAGTACCATCCAAATGGTCACCAATTAACAATATTTATATGTATATATATATATATATCCGTGGTCACGATGGCCCACACATGTTCAAATACAGTGATCTCTTTATCTTCAACTTTTTGAGGTTGCGGCAGCGTCCGTTTGAAAGGTATCAGCAACCGAACACTTACACAGTTAGTGCCTCATCCATCCTAGGTCCTACAGTAATAGACTAAGAGACAGTAATGTAATTTAACCAACATAGTCTCCGTCACCATCATCGTTCTTCATGTAGCCAGACTGTTTCCCCACAAATCTGTTTCCCCACTTGCCCTCAGATCTTCGTCCCCCTTCCTTCTCCATCCCAACCAACACTGCTATACCATCCCAATCCTGCTAAACTCACGTCCGGGCGCTTCCTTCTCCCCCGTCCACTGACAGTGAAAATGCTCCGGTGGTCCGAGGGCAGTGCTCTTCTTGTAGTCAGCGACCTTCGCGAAAAGGGGATCCTTCGCGAGCTTCGTGGCCTGGCGACGACGCGCACACACACACACGGAGACAGTTCATACCAAAGAAACCAGTTAATATTGCAGGGGCTAACCATAATTTCCTTCACTGGCTTTCCCCGTTCGAACAAAATTGTTGCTATTTCCATCTATCTCTGTCCCTGGGGAATGACCTGGGAATCCACCATTGTGCTCCAATTCTTGGGACCCGTCTGTCACGCTACTAGGTTTGCATGGTTACACATGCAAGTGAAACATGGCAAGGATAGCAGACATCACAAGTAGTAGTAGTAGTCTAGTAAGCCAAGACTCTGGGCTGGTCTTTCGGAATGTGAGCGCTCCTGCCGAAACCATTCCGTTTTGCGTCGCTCTCCGATCTGTATACTGTTCCTTTTGGGCAAATATAGTGTCCTTAATCACGTCTTCAAACTTCAAACCCCCTTGGAATGATATGCAAACCTCAACATGCACTTGTTTTACGTGGCTGTGGTCTGCTGCTGGAGGGGGCGCTGCGCCACCCCCCAACCCCCCCCGCACCACGAAATCTGCACTTCATCTCCAACACCCGCACCTGCCACGAAATCATATTTTAAGGTGAACCCCCTGCGGCAAAACACCTTCTCCACCAACCAACCAAGCCCCGGAGGGGGGGGGGGGGGGGGGCCCCCCCCCCCCCCCCGCCCGGGGGGGGGGGGGGGTGGTGGACCCCCCTCCGGTGCCGACCTGGCGCGAGATCGAGGGGCCAAGCAGAAAGAGAGAGCGAGAGTGAGAGTGAGAGCGAGAGTGAGGGAGCCTAATAGCAATGGCCTGCAACTTACAGTAAGAGCGATGGCCTCCAACCTAATAGAGAGAGAGAGACGGAAGGTATATGGGCCAAAAGCCACTGGGGATGTGATGTGTCGAGTTACTCGGAAGCTGTGTGGTCAGGAAACATAGCAGCTCAAACTTCGGAGGATGGAAAGAAAAATCCGCCTCGAGCTGTCCAGCTCGATCAGTCTAGCAGCTAGGAAGAATTTGGAGTTCGAACTGGTCACTTTTGCGCGAGGGAAGATGTGGTGAGCAAAAAGGGATGTCTTTGATCACCAGTTTGATGCCTACAGTAGGGGATGCCCTTGTCACTTACGCCTACATAGGGAGCGTGACAGGACATGTGACCACAGGTCCTGAAAGGAAAAAGAAAGCAGTGTGACGATGTCAGAAGTCATGTCATGTGGCAGGAGGGGCATGCCCGATTTGCAAAGAATATTGCACGCCAAATCCCACCAGGCTGCTTGGATGCATTTCTCTTCCGCTTTTTAAAACCGCATGTTGCAGAACGGCACATGGAAAACGGACCAATCACCCTCCACTCCTCTCCAATCACCCTCCATCAACACGACCGGTGGAACCACGTCGACACCATCGGCTGGCCTCGGTGGGCTCGTGGGCGCCCACCTTCGGTGGTCGGTAGCGGAGGTCGCGGAGGTTGTTGGGCATGCCGCCGGCACTCCTCGGTCGGGCGGGCGCGGGAGGGATGGAGCGGCGGAGCGGAGGAGAGGAACCGCTGCAAAGAAGCGGATGGGAGGTACCAGCTTGAGGTGAGTGTCCACTTTGGAGATTGGAGATTGGACGACTGTCTGGAATGAACATCTAAAAAGTATGAACATGTTGTCCTGAGTAGTTCCTCTTGACAAAGACTAGTGGACATTCTTGATGTGTTGTGCTTAGATCCAAGCCGCAGAAAATCGTTCAAACGAGATGAAAGGGCCTCCCAAATGGAGGACCATACCGGACCTTCCGTTGCTTTGGCGTGTGGACCCAAGGGTTTATCTGGCAGGAAGGGGAGGGGAGCTTCAATGCTTGCTAGGAATTTTGAGGAAGAATCGTCTAAATGGATCTATATAAATGGTCATTGAACATGAGCGAGGAAATCTATGCCGGGCAGACCCGGAGGCTGTGTGTTTTCCAGCTCCTTCAGGTGCGGTATAAATGGTATAAAGGCTTAGGGATTGCCCAGAGGTCATTCAAGATGTCTTCCATAGGAAGTGTTCTTTGCCCTGAAGTTCAAGCCCTCTGAGCCTCCAAAGTGAAGCCCTTAAACAGTGTGGAAGAAAACCTTAAACAGTTGCGTCAAAATATAGTGCCGCATGCCACCTTGTTTGATGTGGGCGAGTTCAGTCCCATCTTTGTCAGCCTCGAGCAACAAACGCACAACTTCCAAGTGGCCTTCCTCGGCTGCACTCATCAAAGCCGTTGCCCCATATGTTGTTGTTGCTGCATCTTTGTCAGCTCCAGCCTCGAGCAACAAGCGCACAACTTCCAAACAAACAGTGAATCTGTGCGCAAATACATAAACGTTTGACCAACATGGCACATGACTGTGCGAGAGTAATGTAAAAGTAATTGGACAATGCCTCCTTGTGTGCCTTCCCCATGGCCCCCAATGTCATTTTGTTGGGCCCCATGCTTTGTCAGGACCAATACATTGCATCTTAGTGGCATCTTCCCTGGAGCATCCTGGTATCAACCAATGTATAATGTATATGTTGCATCTATACTATACTATATACATAGGGTGATGGTAAATGGGTGGCAAACCCAAAACTCGTTGGGAACGGAATGCCTGCAATCCAAAAGCACGCATGACAAACAGGATCCCTGCATCAATGCGGTCACTGTTGTATTCGGAAACTGGACGGTTGTATTCGGAAACTCGGCGGTTGTATTCGGAAACTCCACGGTTGTATTCGGAAACTCGGCGGTTGTATTCGGAAACTGCGCGGTTGTATTCGGAAACTGGTATTCGGAAACTGAAGCGGTTGTAATCGGAAACTGGAAGGGTGGTATTCGGAAACTGCACGGTTGTATTCGGAAACTGGCATTCGGAAACTGAGACGGTTGTATTCGGAAACTCCACGGTTGTGTTCGTCAACTGACCGCTTGGATTCGGAAACTCGACGGTTGTATTCGGAAACTCATATTCGGAAACTCGACGGCTGTACTCGAAAACTGCGGGACCGGAATCTCTCTCCAGTGCGTGTATCTCTATGGCAATGCCAGGAAAACTGCTCTGAACGGATTTTCTCACAAGTGCCAACACCCCCCACACCCCACCCGCCCTCCATGGTACGCAACTATCCACATAAGCTTAATGCCCCTGCCCCACCCCCACCCCCCTCCCCCCCAACCCACAGGAAAGCATTGGTCCGC